ACCTCCGGCTCTTCCCTTGCCCTGAGCCTCTGGTCCCCGTGGGCGTGGGCACGGGCTTGCAGGACCCCAGCTCCCCTGGCATTCCTCTCACAGAGCTGAGGCCCAGGAGGGGAGGGCAGGCCTGCAGCGAGCCTCCGAATGTGTGGAGACGAGCCCCCACCCCAGGAATGAGGCCTGGCCGCTGCTGTGTGTTTGCTCAGGACCCTTTGGCAGTCGTCCATGCTCAGAGAAAAGCAAGGAGGCCAAAACAAGACAGAGGCTAATTACCTCGGATAATAGGAAATTGGGGAGCGGCAACAAAAAGGGTGTCTAGGCCTCCGGCCAGGCGAGGGCAGAAGCGATGGATGCAGCCTGGTCTGACCCTCCCACCTTGAGCGGCGATCCCTGCTCAGTGCCACCCTAGGACTCCGACAGCCCAAAGGCGCAGGAGCTGGTCACAGTCAGCACTGCTGGGGACCCGCTCCCTCTGCTGCTCTTTGTTTGTTTTCATTCAGAAGTAAAAGAAATGAAACAAACAAGGAAATTCAATTTAAACAGGCCCAAGTGCCGATGCCCCTGTTTTGTTATATCAGGGTGAGCTTAGGACGAAAAAAAGAATGAGACTTGACTTTGACTCCTACAGTTGGTCTCAACTCTGTGGGGCTGTGTAAAGTGACATGGATGGAGAGGCTGTGAAAGCAATTTGCCTTCCTAGGTAGGGTGGAGAGAGAGAGTGGGGATAAACAGGGGCCAGAGAGAGAGAGAGAGAGAGAGAGAGAGAGAGAAGGATGAACCAAAACTCAAATAAGCAACAGGATCGAGCAACTGAGATACATGTGTGCGTGAGTGCCTGCTAAGTCACTTCAGTCATGTCTGACTCTTTGCAATCCTATGAACTGTAGCTCACCAAGCTCCTCTGTCCATGGGATTCTCCAGGCAAGGATACTGGAGTGGGTTGCCATGCCCTCTTCCAGGGATCTTCTGATTCAGGGGTCGAACCCACGTCTCTTATGTCTCCTGCACTGGCAGGCGGGTTCTTTACCACTAGCCCCACTTGGGAAACCTGAGACACACACGGAAACACAAATTAAGAGAATAACACACAGAAAGGCATAGAAGGAACGATGGGAGGATGGCAGACAAAGACAGTAAGCTCTGTGGAAAATATTCACACAAGAGACAGAACAAAAAGCCAGGAGAGATGGACAGAGGGCCAGAGAGGTATGGTAGGGTACAACAAAAGAAAGAAGGTAAGAAAAGTTGGAAGAGCAAGAGCCCAGGAGGAGAAGAGAGGGAATGAGAAAAAAATCCCCATGGCAGAAGGATGCATATCAAGAAATCTCTAGCTGGAGTGGGTTTAATGCATCTTCATTTTGAAGACTCTGAACTTGTGAAACAAGGAGAGGATGTGAACATCCCGCCCAAAGTCCCAGAGACAGAAATGGCGGTAGTGGGGTGTGAACCCAGACTTTCTGACTGAGAGACCATGCCTCTGTGCCTAAGCACCCGAACCCTTCCATCATGCCTTCTGACAGCCATGGATGGAGGGTCTGATGTCCACCCATGCTTATTAAACCTTGGGAGTCTGGTCTCATGCTCTCTTTTCAGCCTACTTCTCTCCAAATGATCCTAGATGCTCATTCTTCTCATAGCTCTTCCCAGATTATCCTGGGGAAAAAAAGACACTGAAAACCAGCAACTGGGTCAAAGAGAATGAAAGCGGAAGTAGAAAAAGAAACTAACATTTCCTGCAGACCTCTCCCACATGCCGTGCATTCTGGTAAACTCCATTCGTGGACTTTGTTCATGCTCTTCGCTACAAGTCTATGAGATCAGAAGATTCCCGGCCTCCTTTCCCAGAGGGAGGAATTGTTGCCTAAAGCAGTAACCCCAGGCCTTCCCCAGGGCAGGCCGTGGGTACAGGACAGCAGCAGGACACCCAGCTCTGCTCATCTCCAAAGCCTGAGCTCTTTCCACTGCCTCACGTAGCCTTTTTGGCCCAAGAGGAAGAAAATTCATTTTGGTAAGCAAAGAACAAGCAGAAAATGCAAAACCCCAAGAACTGACACTGGAACTCTTTTAAAACTGGAGACTTGAGTCGGTCAGACTTCAGGGAAGGAGAGCCGCCAGTGGGATGAGAGACGGGTCCAAACAACATGCTGGCTCCTTGTCAGAGCGGCCTGCATCCCAGGCTGGTTAATAAAATCGATTTCAGAAAGAAAATAAAGACGTGTTCAGCGTTAGGGATGACAGGCTCATGACGAGCACATTTTCAGGACAGGAAAAGAAAGGATGCTCCTGTTTTGAGAGGTGGGAGGGAGGTGGAGGGGGGTGGGTGGGATGTTGGTCAGGAGGGATGGAAGAGGCGAGGGAAGATACTCATCACTCCTGGAGGATGGCAGCTTATATGTCAGCTCTTGGGGTTAATTGCTCTTGGGGTTCCATAAAACATTCCCTTACTCGACATAGCAGGCCCGTAGGACTCCAGCCTGGGTAATGCCGAGTCCCCACAATGTCACCCAGAGACAGGGTCACCACTCACGTCTCAGCAGACAGGAACCACCTGCCGGGGCTCTGTCCCTCTCTACTACATCTTCTCTCCCAGCAGTTGGAGAATGGAGCAGGAGGTATGGCTGAAATTCATTGCTTCTACAGCAGGGGCAGCAAGCGCAATAGTGACAAGAGCTAACGGTCCTCATGCTCCTACTGGGGGCTTGTGACAACGTAAAGAATTTGGGGGCATTATTAGCTCATCAAATCCTCCCAGGCTCCCAGTGAACCAGACACCATATTGTCTGATTTACACACTGGGGGAAACAGAGGCTGGAAGGTTGAGAAATCCCCCCTTTGCCAAACAGCTGAGGAAGTGCAGGGTGGAGGTCTGTCTGCCTCCAGTCTATGCCCTCAATAAGGGATGGAGGACCCAGAAGTCAGGCAGCGGAAACTTTCCAAAATGCTGCTTTCTTCATATGGTCATAGCCTTTAGAGTTGAAGAGGATCATAAAGCTCTTAACCTCGTCGCACACTTGTATTTCACAGATGCAGTGACCCTAAAGCTCAAGGGATCAGCACCAGAGTTTACTGATTAAGAGGCTGTAGACTCATGCTCGAAGACCTAAGTACCAAGTCATTGCTAAAGGCCTGAGGTAAACACTAACGCTGCTGTAAAAGTTGCCCACACGTCCCGCTGAAAGATGTCTACAGCCTATTGTACTTTCGGGATTCCATTCCTAGAGTTCTTGCTGTCCCTGACTGCTCCTGCCTTTCTGTGTAAAGTAAACCCTGGGCCCTAACACCTATGACACAGTCACTGGCAGAGCCCAGGTTGGAAGCCCTGATTTCCATCTCGTGATGACATTCCTGAGTCTGGTGCATGAACACATTGAGTGTTACAAGGAGCCTGAATATGTCAAGAGCTGAAAAGAGTCCAGCGGTCTTCAAAAAAGTCACATTCTTCCACAGAAAATAGGGATGGGATACGTTTTGGAGATGAGTCACTCAGTCCACCAGGGAAGCCCTTTGGAGATGGTGGATATTTACAGATTGCAGAGGGGCTACCCTGGTAGCTCAGATGGTGAGTGATGTGCCTGCAATGCAGGAGACCTGGGTTCGATCCCAGAGTCGGGAAGATCCCCTGGAGGAGGAAATGGCAGCCCACTCCAATGTTCTTACCTGGAAAATCCCATGGACAGAGGAGCCTGACAGATGGTAGTCCATGGGTTCACAGAGTCGGACATGGCTGAGTGCCTAACACATACACGCACAGTATTTACTGAGCGCATGCTTAGACACTCTGCTGAGGTGTTCCTTATTTAATTCTCATGCAAAGCTACAACCTGAGTTTTATTATTTCTGCTTTACTGAGGCTCATAGAGGCGAAGTGACTTAAGGCCACACAACTAAAAATGTCAAACCCAGATTTGAATCCATGGTCTGTGGTCTTCCAAACTACCGTTAGGTTTTAAGTTATCGGAGGATAGACATTTTGTCTTAGGCACATTTATATACTTGCCTTCTAACACAGTGCCAAGACATAGGAAATCTTTAGACAGGTCTATTGAATAAGTAAATGAGTATAAGTGAGTAAATAAAAATGTGAATGAATTAAAGGATGAATAAATAAGTGAAGGAATGATGGAGTATAAGAATGAATGAATAGATAGATGAATGGGATGGATGGATGAATGGATAAAGGAAAGAAGAGGGGGGAGATAGATGGAGAGATAAACAGTGGATAGATGGATGGATAAGCAAATGAATCAATGAATTAAATTAAAAAAAATGAGTGAGCTGAGTCATTAATTAGTCAACAGTGCCTACTTAGTCAACAATTGCAGCTTTTTAGATAAGAGAGGGAGGTGGCTTACGGTTTCATAATCAGAGTGAAGACAGCAGGTCTCTAGAACTCTATGTTACAGCTCTGTGGCCGCATCTTAATGAGGAGACACTCACTGAGTTGGGAAACAAAGACAATGAGCCCCTTCCCCTCTGAGATGGACAGGTGAGTCTCCGATGTGTCAACGTTTGCATCTCCAGACACTGGGATGCAATGACTCTGTGCAATACTCTAGGAAACAGTTATAATGGTACCATTACTGAGGGTCTGGATGGATCTAATAGTGAAAAAGTATATGTATATCCTCCATATGTATAGAGACTTTAGATATGCCAATCTACCATCTTTCAGAAGAGATAAGAAATCGAGAAAAGAACACGACACAGAGACTCCTCTGTCTGCCCTCCTTGCAGACTTGCCATGTTCCCTCTCTGGCCTGCTGCTTCTTCCTCAGTAGGAGGAATGGTTCTGAGTGACTGGCTTCCTCGGGCCCTTTAGCACTAGCAGTGTATGGTTCTGTGACTCACTGTGGTGACATTTCTAAATCTTAGCATATCAAGGTGCACACACAGACTGGTCTGTAAAACATCTGGCTGGCCTGGACAGATGACTCATGCCGTGCCTCCAAGGCTACCTACACTTGCCCTGTCTGCGTCATGCTCCCCACCCACAAATGATGTCTTACTTGTAGAGACCGTCGGGCTCCAGACACTTGAAGATGACGGAGTAGATACTGACTTCAGGGACCTCTCCATGGCTTCGGCCAGCTGCTACACAAGATGTACCCAGGCCAGAGAGTAAGTCATCGGCAAAACTCAGGAATTCTCCTGGAGGGAGACAAAGAAAGATGAGCTCCCCAGCTCAGGCCTTGGTGAGCAGACATTCTTGCTGTTGTGCAAACCCATCCAACGTCTGGATACCATTATTAAGAGGATTAATGGACAAGCACAGGACACGAAAATGACACAGATCAGGGTCTACGCCTGATGACTCTTTGCTTAAATTTCTGTCTGCATTTTCTCAAGTGTGATGTGAGATACTAATACCTACCTTTATAAGATTGTAGCAAAGGTCAAATAAGGTATATTACCGTGCAATAAAAATGCTTGACAAGGCAACAGGGGGATAGTGCTCTCTGTCTCGAGTAACTATTTCAGCCTGGTCACTGCCATTCACTGCCTCTCCACTTCTTCAGCAAGCTTCTTTGGAGTTTCAGTTTCCTTCCTCGCATGATGAAGGTGTTGGACTAAGGATGTCGAACAGGTCTCATGTCACATGGTCACCGCTACACATCGGTACTGGCTTCATGGTATGTTATACTGAGGTGGACTGAGACTGTTACAGCTCACAGGGAAAGAGTCCCATGACTGATTAGTGATGAAGCTCATGAGACAGGAAGGGACCATAGACAAGCAAGTGCCTTGGACCCCAAGATTTCTAAACGTCGGTCTAGCCATTGGATTTTAGGAGGCTGCTCCTAAAAGTTTAAATTAAATTAAATTTCTAGAAGTTTACTAGAAATAGGGTTAATCACGAAGATGAGATGGGCTTTCCTGGTGGCTGAGTGGCAAAGACTCTACCTGCCGATGAAGAGGACGCAGGTTTGATCCCTAGTCTGGGAAGAGCACACTGCCCTAGAGAAAATGAGCGCATGCACCACAACTATTGAGCCTGTGCCCCAGAGCCCAAGGGCAGCAGTTACAGAGCCCGTGAGCCACCACTGCCAAAGTCCATGCCCCTGGAACCCATGCTCCACGACAGGAGACGGCGCCACAAGGAGAAGCCCATGCAACAAAAAGTAGACCCTGCTCTCCATGACCGAAGAAAGCCCACGCGCAGCAGTGGAGACCCGGCATAGTCAACAAAAATCACAATGAAAAAAAGTGACAAATAGGTCTCTTTAAAAAATAAAAGATGATGAGATGAAGACTAGGAAGAATAACTAAACATCTGAAATCTTGGGATCTAGGCTTAGTCAAGAATTTGCTGTATAACTTTGGACAACTAAATTCCCATCTCTGTACTCAAGTTTCCTCCTCTACAGACTGAAGGTACTACAGTCACTGTTTGGATTTCTGAAAACATAAAATAAAAACAGCTGTGCACGAAGATTAAGTTATAAGGATAAACACTGTGGTACTACTTACACTAGCAAGAATTTAAAAACAGCTAACTATTTAATGATATCAAGATAGTACTATTAATTATAGGTCAATGATGCAATGAAATATTTTATAGTCATCAAAAATAACATTGAGGAAAACAAAGTTATTTGAAAGGATATCCATAGCCTGGTTCAGTTCAGTTCAGTTCAGTCGCCCAGTCGTGTCTGACTCTTTGCAACCCCATGAATCACAGCAGGCCAAGCCTCCCTGTCCATCACCAACTCCTGGAGTTCACTCAAACTCATGTCCATCAAGTCAGTGATGCCATCCAGCCATCTCATCCTCTGTCGTCCCCTTCTCCTCCTGCCCCCAATCCCTCTCAGCATCAGGGTCTTTTCCAAGGAGTCAGCTTTTCGCATAAGGTGGCCATATGCTCTTCCATAGCATAGTAGTTTTTAAAAAAAAAAAGCAGTTTACATTATTAATAATTTAATTTTTGGTGGAAATTTTACATGTATATCTATCTAGAAAAAGGAATAAGATATAACAAATGCATAATATGACTTTGGAAAGTGAGATAATGGGTATTTTCTCTTATAGTTTTGCTTATCTGTCTTTAAAAAATTATCTACAATGGACATATATTGCTTTTGCAACAAGAAAAAAAATTAATCAATGGAAATTACTTAGAAATTAAAGTAAATGAGCCAGACTAAATGGCCTCTGGGGCTTCCCTCATAGCTCAGTTGGTAAAGAATCTGCCTGCAATGCAGGAGACCCGGGTTCAATCCCTAGGTTGGGAAGAACCCCTGGAGAAGGAAATGGCAACCCACTCCAGGATTCTTGCCTGGAGAATCCTATGGACAGAGGAGTCTGGCAGGCTATAGTCCAAGGTGTCGAAAGAGTTGGACACGACGAACAACTAAACCACTAAACCACCAAATGGCCTCTAAGTCTTCCAGTTCTAAAACATGATGATTTTAGAGGCAAGTGAGGTACTATATATACTATGTGATATGAAATGAGATGAGGCCTCCAAACTGCTGACTGCTTGTTCTTCTTCATGTGTGATATGGAGGGCTTTGCACTCTTTCCTCACTTAGATTCTCAGCAATAAACAAGAGGAGGACGTCTATTCAACTGTCTTCTCTCCATGTGGGATTAAGGACAATCCAACATGGTAGAATCATCATGAAACAGTTCACACTGGCCATGTTTCTGGGAAGACATGACACTTCTCTACCAGGGAACTGAGTGGGCAGAATTTACAGATCACTTCCTTTTGGTCTTCTAAAGAAGAGTTTCACCTTCACTCACAAGAGAACCATGTGACATTCATCTGACTGAACTGTCTAGATGACCCTGGGATTCAAACAGACAACAGTTCTAAAACATATTTGTCCCTATGGTCCAACAATGCACATCTGATGTGTAGTGTTTTTTGTTTTCTGCTTTTTACAAAGGAAAAAAAGCAGACTTGATACATACACGCCAGAGCAAGTGTCTGAATCAGGCTAAAGTCAGTGACATGCAAGTTCAGCTGCTATTGCCAGACAGACTTGGGACAGAATTTGAGTTCTAACAATTATTACAAGTCCCTTAAGTTCTCAAGTCTCAGTTTGCCTTCCTGCAGTAAGGGGTAAATGACTCTTTTATGAGATTGGAATCTAGAAAGAAAGGCTGAGTCCAGGAAGAAAGTCTGTTTAGAGTCAGAGGTTTTGCCCCCCTCCCCCCAAAAAATTGAGGAGGTAATTGAAATGCTTTTTCTCACCAATTTTGGCATCCCTATGTTTTCTGTAGGCCTCTTATATCAAGCTTCTTCCATAATAAAATCATAATCCAAGATGTCTTCCAACTTGGTACCAAAGCAGAATAATATATGGGGTGAAAAATAAAGGAGGAAAAACAGAGACTGTTCACTGGATGGAGTGAGGGCTTTGTTTCTCTTGGTTTTTCAGGATTCCAAGTCTGGCTGCTTGCATTTGTTTTTTTTGAGCTTGAATCCACGTCTGTCTGCTTTGCAATTTGCTTCCAGATAGCCATTGAAAGAGCTGGCCCTCAGCGAGGGAATTCAGGATGCTGTGGCCTGTGTTAACCGTCTTCAAGCCAAAAGACGGCTGACATTTAATTTCAAATGGACATCGTTTTCCAGATATTTCCATGCATTTCAGAATAACTGAGACCATGGATAAAAGCCCCATTGGTCAGTAAGTTCGCACATGGCTCAGTTTATAGGTTTGGTTCAAGTAAAGAAATGGGATAATGTGGAGTAGATAACTAGTCACGTCAAACACATTATGATGATGCTTAGTGTTCAGTTCTGTTTGGGACTCCATACATATAATAACCATCCAAACAAAAACAGCTACTATGAAGGAAACTGATACTTTCATACCAACTTTTGCTTTTCCCATTTGATTCTCACAAGTCCAGTCTTAAGGAGTTAAGTGTTAGTATCTCTGTGATAAAGCTAAAGTGAAGTTCACAAATCTAGGAAGAGACAGAGCTGAGATTTGAACCCACAGCCTCCTAATTCCAAAGACATTCTTTGATGCTATGCTGCCTCCCAGAGAAAGTTCAAAAAACCAAGAGTGTTAGAAAGGGAGCTTTCTCAACTCCTTCCAAACTGCGATTGAATTCCTCCCACTCTCTGAGGTCTACAGGCTTGGGAAATGAAACAATAAAAGAAACGGTCCCTGACCTTCCACAGCTTGTAATCTGACAACAGGAAGGGTTGTTAAATACAAGAACAGACCCATAAAGTAAATTGTAAGATTGCTTGCTTTGGCACTCTATTCCAGAAGGTTTAAATGCAACCTAGAAGGAGACAGGTGAATGCAGCGACCCCTCACTGTCCTTCCTCTCCCAGTGGGGGTGGGGGGTGGTAAGAAAGGCCTGGGGGCTTCTCTGAGTACAAAGGTGAATTTGTGCAATTCAGCATATGCCTTGTGGTATCACGGTATACACATTCCATGTCTGGCAGCGGTATAATTGAATGAACTGCAATAAAGTGCCGTGGTTAAGAGGTTGGGCTCTGCATTTACACTGCCTGGGGCTAAATCCTGGTACATCCCCACTTACAGTTTGCTTTGGACAGGTTCCTTGACTCTCCACATCTATTTTTATCTTATGTTAAATGGGTAGAATAATGCTATCTAATTTAACAGCATTGTTGTAAATATCATATAAAATATTATATATGTGTGCTGTTTACAAACCAATTAGCACAATGTCTGGCATACGGTGACAGCTCAAAATAGAAATCAGCTGTGAGTATTGTTTTTGTTGTTATTGTTGTTGTCATCACAATAGAGGAGAGATATAAGGACCGTCAGGGATTATTTTTATCCAGCCTGCTCCTCTCCCACATGACAGAACTGAAGCCCAGATAAACAAAGTGGCCGTGTCCACGGCCATACACAAAGTGGGAGGCAGCCCTGGATCAAGCCTGACCTCTCAACTCCTAGAGCCTAGGAGACGATTCCTTCCAGGGAGCAGATGAGAGAAAATCACTGAGAACTGAAGAGCTTCCAGAGCCGCTCAAGGAGCCGGAGCTCCTCAGGCTGTGACCAGCTTTAATCAACACGCATGTCAGCCACACACACTGGCCATTTACAGTGTGCTGGGCCCTTTACACGGCACACAGCTCCACCCTGCCGTCTTCTCCCACTTGAAATCTCCGAGGACGACAGAAAGCCCAGGAAAGACAGAAGGCGTTCCAT